TCCAAGACCTTTGTTGACTCAAGTCATCACTTTGTTCTCAGAAGCCAGACATTTCCATTTATCTCTCGTGTCTTGATTTCAGCCTGTGTTGAGAAGCCCTGCTTATTCCACTTAGAGCTCTTTTGAAGACAAACAGCTAGAGAACAAAACCTTGAGATGGGCCAGGTGGGTGTGCCAAAGTCAATATGTAGGAGAGGTTGTTAATATGCTAGGAACAATGCTAGTATATCTTTTGTTCTTACTTGGTTTCCACTATTCAGAATTTAAAAGCCAGCCTCTTGACTGTATTTGCATGGCCCAGTATGGGAACAGCTCAGGGGGTCCAGGGTTGCACACCACCAACCTCTCAGAACTGTGTGCTTTGACTTGTGTGGCACTCAGTCACTCCTTAGAATCATCTACAGCCCTCCCAGCTCAGAGGAAGTTTGGATAACTCTTCCCCAGGTCCCTCTGGGCCAGCCTAGCTCCATTCTGCTATCTTCTTGAATCTCATTGCTGCCTGGGAAAGGAGTGCTGGCCAATGGAATGTATCTAACCAAGGTGCATCCTACTGGTGACCTACTGAGCTTCCTGGGCAGATCTGCACTGTCCCCACTAGGTATTAGCCTCCAGTACAATCTCAGAAGACACATATAGAAGATGACAGACCCTCCATCAGCCTGGACTCCAGGAGATGAACAGAGACTCTCCTTCAGGCCAGGGCATTGACAAACAATGGTGTGACAAATGCAATGTGTTGGCTGCCATGCTGATGAATTCTGACACAGGCAAGCAATCCGATCCTTGGAATAGAAGCTCAACATTTAACTACTTATAAAAAGTCAATTACAGAACATGTCCAGTGTCCATTAAATGTCACAAAATGTATAGCAATTGGCATTACCTCAATGGTTGGTGTTAGAATACATCTTCTCCAAGCTAAGAGCACAAAGGCTCATGATCCCACCCCCCCACACACACACACACCAGTAGAATGAAACCCAAGGCACAGGAATGCCCCCAATCTTCTCCTTTATTAGCAGCCCATGATGAAGCTCAGCTTCTGCAATCCTCTTCCTGGATACTCTAGTACAGCTGATAGTGTCTTGAATCCACTGCCCATTGACTGGTATTGGATACTTACAGTGAGCACTCTGAAGCCAGGTCAGCTCAGCAGAAAGGAGCATCATGACCAGTGGACATTCTCTGTCAAGTGTACAGTGATGGAGTCTCTCCCTGAGCTTAGCCCAGAATGTCAGATGCCTATTACAGAGGAAGTCTTTAGCCTCACTTGGGAGTCATCCAGCCTCAGCCTCTTCACCGCCAAGGTTGACTAAGCTAAAATCCCCAGGTGAAAACCTGGAAAATCTACAACTTTATCATTTTTTTAATGGAATGTCAATGCACAAGCACACCCCCATCCCTGGGAATCACCCAGGATGTGCCTATTCAGGTACTGCTGCAAAGTGACAGAAAATATGAGCTCTTCAAAGGTAACCCCTGGAACTGCTGGCTGGGATAAGTCACCTCACTTTAGTATCATGTATGCAAATTAGGAGCCATCATAACATCCTCTGCATAGGGACATGTAACTATAAGTCTCTCCACCAAGCCGCCCAAGCCCTGCCACCATCTGGGTGCCCAAAATATCATACAGAGTCTTATATTAATTACAATACTGCTGGTCAATGACCAAGATTTCTTATTTTCCAGCTCTGTCTTAAATATCAACCATAATTATTAATCTATATATTTAATAAAGACTTACCTGATTGAGGACACCAGCAGCATACATCCTCTCTTGTCGGGCTCACATGGCAACTCCCAGAGAAGAGAGGAGGAGGAAGAGAGCGATTTCCTGCTTGTCCCTGCTTATATTCTGAGTCTGCCTGCTGTGTCACCTCCTTCCTGGGTCACAAGACTTCTCTTTACTACATTTCCCATAATCCTCCTTGACTCTTAGTCCCGCCTAACTTGCTTCCCTATTGGCCAACAGTACTTTACTTATCAACCAATAAGACAAACATATACACAGAAGGACATCCCCCATCAGGGACATTAGGAAAACCAGACCAAATGCTATGACATGTGGGAGGTCAAAGGACAGCATCAGGTGACGGTCTTCCCCTTCCACCTTCTTTGATAGAGTCTCTTATTTACATTTGCACAGGCTAGGCTATCTGTCCGGTGAGTTTCTGAAGCTTTGTGAATGATACACACTCTCTTCTCCTTCCATCATGATAGGAAAACTGGTCCTACAGAAGGATGTGCTGCTGTGTCCCACTTTTTGTGGGCTCTAGTGGTCCAAATTCAGGTCCTTTATCAAAGCAAGCCAGTGAGAGCATTCCTCTGTGCTCTCTGCTTCAGCTCCTGCCTTGAGTTTCTCTCCTGATGATGTGATGGAATGTGATGGGGAAGTGAAAGCATAATAGACCCTTTACACCCCGCCCCATGCCTATGAAGTATTTTCCCACTGAGCCATCTCCTGGGTTTGATTATATTATCTTTTGGTGTCTTTAAGAGATGCTTCATCTGAAGCTACTGGCATGGGTACAACTGCTGTTTCCTTAGTGTCCAATACCCTGTCCAGCACAACTCCTGCCTCAGCAGTGTAGAGATCAGTGGAAGGAAGGGTCTCACTCTCTGATGACTGATGCAGGAGCTGAGGCTCTGCTTCAAACCCAAGCTGGGGAAGGAACCTGGATAGGAAGAAAGGTGCTAAGAGGGACCTGGAGGAATATGGGGGAGGAAACATGTTGACGCTGACTTGGCCATAAATGTGAAGTGACAGTGCCTGGGATGGAAATGCCATGGGGATGAAGGTACATGGTCATGGTGTGATGTGATATGATGTGGATGCTGGAGAGCAGTTTCCTAGACCTTTCTTTAGTACCTTCCAGCCTTTCCAGCCTTTTTGATGATGTATTTGTCAACCCTGTGTCTGGCTCTATGACTCATCTCTTAGTAGTATAATGAAGGAATGGGAAAAAAGAACCCTGCCTCATGTCCCATCTGGTGACCACTTATGTACAAACCAATAGCTGTCCTGATTCATGACTAACACCAGAAAGGTGGTTGTCTTAGTTAGGGTTTCTATTGCTTTGAAGAGACAGCTATGACCATGGCAACTCTTATAAATGACACCATTTAATCGACGTGGCAGCTTACAGACAGAGGTTTACTCCAATATCATCATGGCAGGGAGTTATGGCAGCTGGGAGTTATGACAGTGTGCAGGCAGACATGGTGCTGGAGAACTCTACATCAAAAGGCAACAGGAAGTGAACTGAGACATTGGGTGTGGCTTGAGCATATATGAGACCTCAAAGCCCACTTCTACAGTGACACACTTTCTCCAACAAAGCCACACCTTTGGGAGCACATTTTCTTTCAAACTACCACAGGCGTAAATTGAAATGGTTGCTGTAAATTCACTGTACTTTCTGGTAATGACTTGAAAGCCAAGCAGGCTGGGGAAGACTGCTGCACTATAGCCAAGGTCATGGGCAGTGTCAACCTAGGAACAAGAGGCCTCTCTGAGATTCTGATTCAGGAATCATCCTATGTACCCAAGTACCACTGATAGCCAGTATAGCATGCTGATACCTCCACCCCAGCTCCCTGAGATCACTGGGTCTCTCTGCTGCTTCTTTTTTGTTGTTGTTGTTCAAATTAGGAACAAGCTTGATTCAGATGTCAATCCCTTCTCCCTCTCCCTCCCCTCCCCCCTCTATGCTGTTTCTTGTCAGTCACCACCACCCCCACCCAGACGTACCTGAGGGTCTTCCACCTGGCAAAACTTGAGTTCCGTGCTTATACTCTACTGTGACAAAGGCTAAGAAATTAGATAGCTTCTTCCATTTCCCTATGAGTAGCAGAGCTCAATGTAAGAAAGTTGGCATAGCAGTTAAGGGCACTTGTTACTCTTCCAGAGGACCAGAGTTCAGTTCCCAGCACCGACATCTCATGGCTCAAAACCGCCTATGATTCCAGCTCCAGGTGATCTGACACCTTCTTCTAGCCTCTGGGCACCTGTTCTCACATCCACATACCCACCTGGAGACACATACAAACACATAGGTAAAAATAAAACTTTTTAAAAAAGAAAAATAAGAAGTAGATAAGAATGCAGAGTGCTTACTAGAGTCTGCTAATAGATTACTCCGAGCTGTTCTACAAAGAGAAAATCTGAGTCCACAGTCTTTCTTCTCAGACTGTGTATCTTTCCATGGACCACTCCAGCTAGGCACTGGAGGCCATGCAACTGAGGAGAGAAAGCTGCAGGAAGATGATGGGCAGCTACTCAGCTGTTTCTTCAAAGTGGAGCCTTTGACCTTGAAGTGTGGGCTCTTAGAAGTCAGGAGACCTCAGTCAACCCCAAGAAACCACGTGAAGGGTTTCCCACAGAATCCAGTGGCTCTGTGGGGATCTGGCCATAGGAACCTAGCTATGCCTGATCCAGCACATTCTATGGAACAGCTCACCCACTGAGGAGCCTGGAAGTCTGAGCTCCAGCTCAGGCTCTGCCCCTGCCTCTGGCATGGCTTTGAGCAGATCTTTCAACTTTTGTGACTCAGTTTACTCACCTGCCAAATGGAGATAATCATGCAGGTCTCAAAGGATTTTTGTAAGACTCTAATGACTATTTATAAAGTGCTTTGCAGGAGTTTATGGTTATTTGAGCTGGGAAAGGATTTACAAATTATTCAGAAGTAAACAGTATTTAGAGTCTGGGTTTCCAACAGCCAGCAGGTTCTCCTAAATGTTTACAAGATGGTTGTAACAGGACACACCGAGGTCCCCCTTCCCTCCACCCCCGGCCTGGCCTGGTTCCCTTTGTTGCCTCCCTGACCTGCAATGTGTGGCTCAGGAGTTCAATAGAATGGCTGGACTCAGACTCTAAACCAGATGCTCAAAGTTTGTTTAACATTTCTTTCAGGGTTCAGGAATGAAGAATTTGGGGATAGGGAATTGTTTTGAAAGACTGGTAAACTTCATCCCTTCCAACTTCCCTTTCCCAGATTGATGTCTGATGTCTGCTGCATTCATCCAAGGGACTCTGTGTTGCATGAGAGAGCAGCAAATTCTCATGTACAAAGGAATGCACACTCCCCCTAGGAGTGCCAAGTAAAACATAGGAAAGACTAGCTTGCAAGGTAAGCACTCACGCCAGGGTTCTCCTCACAAAAAAGACAAAACATCAACCAGTACTGTTGGGTGTAGTGGTTTCACACTGTAACTACAGAGCTCAGGAGGCCGAGGCAGGAAAATGTTGCAAGTTTGAGAGCAGCCTGAATTATGCAGGGGGTCAAGGCCAGCCAGGACAGAGTGAGACTCTGTCTCAGAACACAAAAAAGAACAGACAAGAAAAACAAAGACAGCGGACTGAGACTCAGTCAGTAAAGTGTTTGCTATGTAAGCATGGAGACCTAATTTGACTCCAAAACCCATGTAAGAACCATGTGTGGTGGCCTTCACTTGTAACTCTAGTGCTGGAGAGATGGAATTCCTGGGGCTTGCTAACCTAGTCAGCCTAGCCTACTTGGCCAATTCCAGGCCAGTGAGGGATACTGTCTCAAAATAAAACAAAGTAAGCACTTTTTGAGTGTGCTTGGATGACCTGGAGCAAGAGGGAGCTGTGGGGAAGAGAAGTTTCCTGAGATTTAATGTTAGTAGAATTTATCCCTGGTCTTTAGTCTGTTCTGAGAAAGGGTTGCTGTTGGGGTTATCTGTGAACAGGAGCAGGGAAATCAGAGCCCTGGACACCTCTCTCCAATTGTCCCTCCCATGACCCACACTCAGAGGGAAATGGGGACAGCATCCTCCTCCCCAAATCATTTCACAGGGATGATGCCATGCATCAGAGTCAGAGCTTTTGAAACCAGCGAGGGGATGTCACCAGAAGGAGTGGGCTGCAAAGAGCTTCCCACAAAGCGCACAGCCAGTGGATGTCTGTTCTGCCATAGGTTGTCCATTCAGACTCACCCCACCAGCATCTACTTGGAACTCCTGCCATATGGGTGTGTGACAGGATACAAGGGAACCCAGCCAGCCTCCTGGAAATAACGATCTAGAGGGGAAATGGAAAATGACAGTCATCCCAGAACACTGCTCTATGGACGGGATGAATGAAGAGTTCAGTAGAAGAAAGCTCGGCTCTACTCACTAACAGGGCTCCCCCAATGTTCAAAGCACCACAGGGGTTCCTCTCTAGGCCAGCTAGCTCTGCCCAGAATGAAGTCTCCTCTACCCCTGGCATACCACAGTGGTACCCCTGCTCCAAGACGCCCTCTGTCTTCATTGTGCTTTATGCTCTTAGCTGTTAGCTCTTTCCTGGCACCTTTGACATTATCTACCTTGTACGGCCCCTCACATGAGAGTGAGGGATACATCTGTACCCAGTAAGTGCTGTGCAGATTCAATCTGTAGGAATTAAATCCAACTGGAAAATGTTATCAGACAAAATAAGGAAAGTATGCATTTGTATTTGCTGGCATGGAAGGAAGGATTCCTAGAGAAATCACAGCTACTCAGGAAGCTGACACGGGATCAAAAGTTTGAGGCCAGCCTGGGCAGCTTAGTCAACCCAATCTCTAAACAAAACTAATAGAAAGAGGGAGACAAGATGGCTAAGGGGGTAAAGGGCAAGCCTGATGAACTGAGTTCCATCCCCAGACTCACATGAAGGGAGAGAACCGACTCCTGCAAGTTGTTCCCTGACCTCCACAAGTGGTGCACACACACACACACACACACACACACACACACACACACACACACACAGAGTTTATAAATACACATACAGAAAATACATTTTAAAAAAATAGTAAGGAGGGTGTAGCTCCACAGTAGAGCACTCGCTTAGCACAGGACAAGTTTCAGTTCTCAGCACTGAAAACGACAAGGATCTTGTAATGGAAACTATTAATGTTAAAAAGCAGGTTATGAACTAGAATGTGCAGGAAGGAACTATTTGTGTCACTGCGGAAGCGTCTGTTCCAGTGATGGTCTGGACAGGAAGCAAACTCATCAAAAAAAACAGTTCATTTAAAGGTGTTTAGGTGAAAAGGGGGCCATTCTAAGAGCAATGGCAGAGGTGACACAATTTGCAAAGTGGGGTCCCGTGTGCAAAAAGAACTAAAGGTGAGAGTGTTTGCAGGCCGCACTTGGGTTTGGCTCCTCCAGCAGAGACTGAAGCCAGGACGAGCCATCCCTGCGGCAGTAACTCAGGGAGGGTTCCACTGTACTCTTCCTGCCCGGCCTCCCATGGTGGACATACAGAGAGGCCGGCAGGAGTATCACAGAGGGGTCAGTCATCCTTTGGGAGACCAGAACAGGGTGGAACATGGGTCAAAGTGGGGAATAGGAACCTCAGAAGGACGCATTCTACAAGGCCACGGAGATGTGGCTGGAAGAGATGTTCGGGCTCATGCCTCGTCCTTCTCACTTCGTTTTCTTTTCACACTGAGTGGATGTTATTTCTATAACCAGGGAGAAGGAAGGTAGGCATTTCACTTAGTTCTCCGACCCTCCAGAAATCCACGCAAAGGGGAAACACGGAAACGGCGTGCTTAAGAAACAGAACAGTGCCCCTGCTCTTTAACGACTCCTTCACATGTTTCTGTCTGCAACCTGCAAGGTTAAACAACAGTTCTGCTCACTGAACTCTTTGGGGTGCATTCTCGGTAAGACCCAGGATGTGAAGCCGTTAGCTCCCGAGGTGGATACAGGCTTGGACTCACACAGCCTAAAATCTGGCAGAAAGCTCAGGCGTAGAGCAGGGCATCATATGACCCAGAGGAAAGGTTTCCAGTGTCCGGGAGGTGGAGCGAGGGGCGTGTCCTAACACCCAGCCAGTGTGGCCTCTTCCCACTGCTCAGAGGAATGCTGTGACTGCCTTCTAACATTAGAATAGAGGTGTCACCGTTCTCACTGGACAGACAGACCCACAAACAAGCCAACACCTCCATCTAGCCCTCCAATTGCAGATTGGGAAACGGAGGCTGGGACTCAGAGGTAGGACACTTGCCTACAGGCTTGAGGCCCTGGGTTCAATCCCCAGCATCGCAAAGCAAAAAGTGGAAAAGGAAAAAAAAAAAAAGGAAAACAAACAGGGACGGACTAAATAACATAAACATGAACTTTGGTCATGTTTCAGTCTAAAGGCTCAGTCAACTGAATGAGCATTTCATAGAATGCTGTGGTTCAGAGTCCTTACATGTGAATCCGCCAAGTTGCTACTGTACCATTGCCTACACCACTACTTGGAGATGTACCTTGAATTCTGCATAGAATAACTGTGGCTTTCTTCTATATAAATGGCTCTCATATTCTCAACTATGGGGATCTTTTTATTAGCCCCCAAATATGGCAGACTCCCAGGTGCCGGTGGTTATTGCTGTAATATTCCTCTAGAACGAGCTGAGGAGATGTTCAGTGGATGAAATGCCTGCTGCACTAGCATGAAGGCTGGAGTTTGGATCCCCAGCACCCACATCATACTGAACATGGTGATATGTGTTTGCCATCTTAGTTCCTATGGCAAGATAGGAAATGGAGACAGGAGAGTCCCTAGAATCTCACAAGCCAGCTACCCTGGCATACATAGCAACACTGAGAACCTGTTTTTGATGAGGTGAAAGGCAAGTGCCAACATATATGTCTTGGCACATACACACACACACACACACACACACACACACACACACACCACCACCATCATCATCATCATCAACAACAACATCATCATCATATATACACAAAGATTTAAAAATACATAGATGAGGATCTATAATGAATTTAGCTGTGTATTGGAATAAATATGCAGTTTATTAATTATAGCCATCTGTAAATATTCAAAAATAATAGCTCACATGGGTGGGAGGTGTTGCTTATTTAGTCTATACAAACAATGCATATTCTCATCTACCAGAGACCAGGCCCTCTCTACCCACACTAGGGACTGAGTGGCCTGCCTAGGATCCTGCTGTGAGATTTTTGAGACACTGCAACTTGAGTGAATTGACAGAAAGCAGGCCATCTGGCTAGAAGTTACCACGAGACACACCAGTAATCTAGTTCAAGATGAATGGAAGTAGCTATTCACGTCTTGACATGCCTTATTGAGTCTTTAGACAGAAGTCACCATCACAGAAAACCCAACCAGCTCAAACAGTGCAGTAAGGAGTGGAGAGAAGCTTAGTTCTGCATCCCTGTAGAGGCAGCCAGGCCTCGGTCTTTTGTCTTCTCATCTCCAGGCCAGCAGAACTCACCATGAATATGATTTGCCCAAGTGGTTGGCTGGGAGATGTCATGAAAGATTATTCAAACAACAAGGATCTTGGCCTTTCCTGAGTGACATCTCAGTGCAGACGTGGTCACAGGAGTCTGTGGCTCCAATGGGTTGAAACCACCCACACCTGATATCTGTTGAGTAGCACACAGGACAAAGCAGAAAGTCACTCTGTGACCTCAACCATGAAGAGAGCACAGACATTACAGGGCACCGATGATAACAGGGAAGACTTCCTGACTTGAAAACAAGGTCACTATTTTATACAGAAGCTGCAGTCCTCTGGGTGTGTTTTCATTCAGGTAAACCTGTAAATTGTTTCTTGGTTCAAAATGTCTGCTGCGGGAAGGAGGCTACCAAATGCATTCAAAGACCGGTGAGCCTTCTGCTTCTGAGGAAAAACTGGCTTCTTGGAAGTATGCAAGGTTGGATGGAGTGTGGACACATCCTTGTCTGTGACTAAGGGTTTGAATCAACACTACTAGACCCCTCCAAGAGTCACCCCCTCCTCAGGCCCCAGGAAGATGCTGGTTTGGATTCTGAACATGAGCCAAGTGTGCTGTATGTTGGTTTTCTATATCAGTCAGGAGAGTTAGCTGCTGGCTACTTCCTCTGTAAAAGAAGGCACCAGGGGCTGAGGACCCGGCTCAGTGGGGAATAGTGCTGCTTGGCAAGTAGGTGGACCTGAGTTCAAATCCCAAGTACCCATGCATTAATTAAAAAAAAAATCAGGCGTGTCCACACGTACATACCTGTAATAGCAGTAGTGTTGTTAGAAGAGATATATGTATTGCTGGGGCTTGTAGGCTTCCAGCCCAGACCCAGGTTCAGGAAGAGACTCGGTCTCATGGGAATAAGATAGAGGGTGATAGAGCAGGATATCTGACATCCTCCTCTGGCCTCTGTGTGCGCTTAGGCTCATGAACCTGCACATATACATGGCCACACACTTACACAGCAAAATAATAAAGGAATAAATAAAAATAAGGAAAGCAGTAAGTATTGGTCCACAACCTTCATGGTTGTAAGATCTGGAAGGATACCACCTTAACTGGCTGTACCTCCAAGTTCACATTCTCTTAGCTTTTACGTGAAAACAAGATGTAACCCACCACCACCTACTTGCAGTGTTGGCAGTCGCTTCACATGGAGTCAAAGGGAAAAGATGCTGAAACAAACATTAGACATGTTCTGGGCCAGCAAGACAGAATGGTGGGTAAAAGTGCTTGCCACCAAGCCTGGTGACCTGAGTCCAATCCCAGGAATCCACATGCTGGAAGAAGAGAAATAACTCCCATAAGTTGTCCTCTGACCACCACACATGCAATGTGGTACATGCATACACCTGTGTGTGTGTGTGTGTGTGTGTGTGTGTGTGTGTGTGCAAGAGCATGCCATGTGTGTATGTATGTGTGTGTATGTGTGTGTGTGTGCAAGAGCATGCCGTGTGTGTGTGTGTGTGTGTGTGTGTGTGTGTGTGTGTGTACACCCCTTCCCCCTACACACATACACAATAAATACAATTTTAAAATGCATTCTGGATCCGAGATGTCCAGCAATCCTTCTTGAAGGTGTAGCCAAGAAGGAGGACACACTGGGGTAAAGTACTTATGAGACTGTTGACCTAAGATAGAAATGTGTCCCAGTGGGATCCAGTAACACAGCCCGTCCCCCACCCACCAAGATGTTAAGTGTCAGCATCTCCTTGAAATAAATTGCAGAGCCACATAGATCCCCAAATTTCCACTATGACTGCCAAGGATGCCAAATGCATATCCAAGTACTTCTGGATCCATCTCAGATAATCTGTCCTCTACTGTCCAAGCCAAAAAGGAAACCTGTTTGCAGACCTAGCAGGGATTTTTAGAAACTAGGTAACTATTCACCAAGGAGACATTGAGTGCATTCGGTCTGCCTGCAAAATAATTGTGACAGAAAGGAATCAATTATGGCCCATCTGCAGTTCGTTAATATGATCTGTTGAAAAAGAGGCCAATTTCACCAAGTCAACCCAAAAGTCTAAAAATAGGACTGATGTGAGCCTGGCCCAGAGCATATTAGGCAATAAAAAGATCCCTACATCTGCAGGAGCGAGAGTCCCTGGACACTTGCTTGCTCTTTACTACTTCTCCACAGCGGTAATTGGGAATGGAGACATTTTATTTTCTTTCCAGAAAAAGAGAAAAACATTCCATGAGGATCATCATAGCCAAAAATAGCATCCTGTGCTCATGAAGACTCAGCTCAGAGACAGAGTTCACTCGTACAAATCTTACACATTCCTGAGATCGCTAGTGTCTCCCCTTAAATCATGCACAGAGCGTACGTC